TTTGTGAAAACATTAATAGCTGGAAAAGCATTGAAAAAGTATGTAGGAGAGGAAAATACATACATTTTATCCTTCAAGAATTCTCTGTTAAAATAGACTCGCCTTAGATCGTGACTTTGTATGGTTATCTGTGTTCTGTCTTTCAGTGTAAAGTTCTGGAACAACGACTAGAGCAGGGGATGGTGTTTACTGAATATGAGCGCATTCAGAAAAAAAGACTTATAGATGGTGAGTGCTCAATAGCTCGGCTTCCTGAAAATGCTGAAAGAAACCGGTTCCAGGACGTCCTTCCTTATGATGATACCAGAGTAGAACTAGTCCCAACCAAAGAAAATAACACGGGTTACATCAATGCATCTCATATCAAGGTGAGAGAAATACTGTTGGAGAAATATCTTCCAGTTCATGTGGTAACTAGAAATGGATTTGGCTATCAATTTTGGTTTAGTCAGATGAGTGAGAATCCCTCCATCTCTCTCTCTTTCCCACCTTCTGCAGAGGTTTCTTTGGGGAAAGGAGAAACCTGTTTTTTCTCATTACCTAGAATAATGGAGTATTAATTATTGGAGAGGTCTTCTGCATTTCGCTTCTGTATTGATCTACTGCTGTCTCCTTTCTCTCTCTGTCTCGTCTCTCTGTGGATTGGTGCTAATAGAAGGCATGTCTGTTCTTCTCAGAGTTAAGCAGCTTTATAACAAACTGGGATCCTTTGCAGTGAATATGATATTTTTGAACTGCAGTGACAATCCTTATCTTTCTTCCTCTTCTGTACTCTTAGACTAGATCCACAACAGGCAGTAAGCTAGCTCCCAGATTAAGTTTTTTTGGATGGTTAGAGAAACAGATGGAGCCAAGGGGAAATCTGCTCTTTCACAATCTTCAGTTACCCCTTTTCCCCAGCCTTAGCTCTTTAAACTCTACTTAAAAAAGTGAAGAAGTTGCAGGGTGACCTCAAGAACCTTCAAGGCAGTTTGTTAATTTTCAATGCATTTACCTACTTAACATGCAACTATAACTGGCTTCATGCTTTCTCTGAAAAGAGTTGAGATAGTCAAAGCAGCAGTTGTAGTTGTGTTGCTGTCTTTTTTTAATAAATCTGTTTGTACACTGACATGGTACCATAGTTTCTATACTTCAATTCATTCATAAATGTTGAGTAACTCTTCTGACCCTTCTCAAACAAGATAGTGTTTTTTGAGGAAACATTAGCTAGTTCTGACTTTTTAGTGCATATAATAGCATTTACAGCACCAGGGTATGAAAGCTTCTCTAAACCCAAATCAGCTAGAATACCTCAAATTCACAAAAAAGAAATACAATTTTATTTACTCACTTTCACATTATGCTTTTGATGTAAAATACATTTATTTAGCTATATGCCTATACAATTTTAAACGTTGTGTCTCTTCTGCATCTAATGTGACAAGACGCAGCTAAAAAAATAGGAGGCAGATATAACTCACAATGGGCTCCTGCTTTTGCAGTGTTGCTCTCTTTTTTCCATTTGTGCATCTTCAAATGACTGACTTAAGAATTGGGGAAAGGGAGTTTTCAATAAGTACTCATCTAATGTCTTTCTTTTTACAGATCTCTGTTGGCAGCATAGAGTGGGATTACATTGCTACGCAGGGCCCTTTGCAGAATACATGTCAGGATTTCTGGCAGATGATCTGGGAACAAGGGATTGCCATCATAGCTATGGTGACGGCAGAGGAAGTGAGTATAAACTGACTCAGGTTTCTCCCAGAAATTCTGCAATGATTTTGTTATGATCTATCAGAGGAAGGGGATCTTTGCTCCAACAAGAAGACCAATCAAAGATAAATTTCTAGTGACCCCTTTGCCATTCTGTCTTGCTTTCCTTGGCAGAAAGATGTAAATTTGCATACTCTTTTCGCTGGAAAATTGGTTTACTCAGTGAGAAACCATAAACACTGTAGTAGTACTTAATAGAGGAGAGATACAGTTGTTACAGGAGCATTAGTTGTATGAGTGTTCTTATGTTTCTTGTTAAGCAAGTGTTTTACTTTTAAGGAAAGTGGGCGAGAAAAAAGCTTCAGATACTGGCCACGTCTTGGTTCAAGACACAACACTGTAACATATGGAAGATTTAAGATTACGACACGATTCCGTACTGACTCAGGCTGCTATGCAACTACGGGATTGAAGATTAAACATCTTCTTACAGGACAGGAGAGAACAGTTTGGCATCTGCAGTATACTGACTGGCCAGAGCATGGCTGTCCAGAGGATATAAAGGGATTTCTCTGTAAGTTGTATTTAATAGCTTTGTTTTGGGGTTGTGGTTTTGTTTTTTTTTTAAATACCTCCTAAAATGGCTGCTATAAGTGAATTAGCTTTTGATAAGTATGCCAAGCATTCTGCTGTAAAAGGTTTCTTCACACCAGCAAGAGATACTGAATTATATTTTTGGCAGGAATATACCTGTCAGTTTGCTAAGGTCACTGTTTATGTCTAAAGCCAAATACATAATTTACTAAAAGTTCGTATAGATTAAAACATAATTACATCACATACTACACATTTGAGTATGTTCCAGCAGTAGGAAGATGGCCACGAGCTGCCTTTGGTGGGGAATAGGGGAACAAGGCAAGGAAAGCCTTACAAAAGTTAGATGATCTTTATAGATCTGTATTGCTTTGGTTGGGATATGACTTGTGATTTACACAGTGTCATTTTTCTGTGGGATGTCATTTGTTAAATTACTACTTTTCTGGTGGTCATACAGCGTAATAGCATGGCTTATGGGGCTTCATCTCCTAAATTTATTATTCTTATCTTGTTGAACTTAATAGCATACTTGGAAGAGATACAGTCAGTGCGGCGCCATACGAATAGCACTGCGGATCCTAAAAACTCTAATCCTCCTGTGCTGGTACATTGCAGTGCAGGTGTAGGACGAACAGGAGTGGTCATACTGTCAGAGATCATGATCGCTTGCTTGGAACACAATGAGGTGATCTCTTTTTCTTTTTCGTGCTTTAAATAATGTTGGATAGTGGAAGAATAAATAACCTGCCTAATAAATATTTTATGGCTGTTCATCTGAGCTTTTCCAAGATTTGGCCTTTGGAAGAGCCCTTACAACTGTGGTTTAAAGAGCTCTTGGCAATTCAACAGAAGTTGTTAATCTTTTAGAGTTGCCCACTTACACACTGGAATGCTCATTTGGATTCTTGACTCCAGAAGATGTTGAGTCACTGAGTGGAACGAGGTATGCCCTAGGCTACTAAGCATATTTCAGGATTTCACCCTTATCAGGATCTTACCACTTTTACTTCATGCCTTAGTTTTAATGGATAATATTCAAGAACATGTTTGTAGCCAGTCTCTGTGCTTGTTATTAAATATTTTGTTCCTAAGTGTAGTGTATTGCAGTATCAGTCTCAATAGAGGACAAACCGGTAGTTTAATAGAATAAAACCTGATCCTGTTAGCTTTTAGCCAAAGTGAACAGCTGTAAAGTGTTTATTAATAATATAATATGCCAGCTGAGACTGAACAAACTGATTGTTTCATTGTGCATCCCTGTCCTAACACTGTGACAGACTTTTGCGGCCATTAAATTTGTGAAGACCCATAACACATGAGATAGGCAAATTTAACATTATGCATATTTCACAGATGAGGAGGTAGGCATGGTCAGTGGTGTAGTGCAGTCCATACTGCAGGCATGGGCTGTCAGAGCTGAAATTAGAGCAGCTGATTCTGCCCTTGCTCACCAGTCACTTGTAATGGTTTGTTCTCTTCCTCCAGATGCTGGACATCCCACGAGTGCTGGACATGTTGAGGCAGCAGAGAATGATGATGGTGCAGACTCTTTCACAGTACACTTTTATCTATGGAGTTCTCATTCAGTTTCTCAAAAGTTCTAGACTCATATAATCTCTGCCACTTCCTAAGGAACACCGCAAGAGTTTACAGAAAGAAAATCACAGTTGTCCAGGCAGAACTGCTCTCACTGGTGTTTTCTTCATATGATGAATCACACAGTTACCTTTTAGGGCTGGTATGTGGCTGTTAAATGCGAGTCAGTGTAACAGTCCCTGCAAAGCAGGATCTTCACTAAATTCTTCCCATGTTCAGCTGCAGTCATTAGGGAACGATTTTACTTGTACCGGTCTGTAGTACTTGCATACGTTCTTTAGAGTGGTGTTACTCTGAACAAAATAACTATATTATGAAATGGAAGTATATGGCACAATTTTACTAACATATTTTAAAACATAATTGTTAACTGTGTGAAAGTTAAAATCTGTAGATGTGCATGGGGTAAGAAACCTGCTCCTTGGGACTGTCAAGGTCTTATGCAGTTTCATTCTGCTTTCAATTTTATATTTAGAACGATAAATCTATATTTTCTAAAATGAACTTTTGGGTTCCTCTGGTTTATTCAGCAAAATTAGCAGCTCTTAGATATTTTAAGCTGTTGCTTTAAGAACAGTTATTTTTATATTCAGCATTTTTTAATAAAAAAAACCAAACCAAACCAAAACGCCACAACCCATATCTTTTTAAACAGCATAATATTTTCAGAGGAGAAGACTGACAATGTTTGAACTAACTTTTCAAAAATCATGCAGAAAGTACTAGGGGAAGCTATTGGTAGTTAGTTGTGGTGCTGTGTAATAGAACTGACAAGTGAAAGATGATTTCCATTTGAGCGGAGGCATGTTTACCTGCAACAAGCAGGGGAAAATATTCTAATTATCTACAAGGTTATTGGAAACAAATGCATGAGAGAAAGTACATATTCAGTATTAGTCATGTATTTAGAGAACAGTTTGATTTTACTGGCTGAAATCAAAGTGGATGCAAATGTTTTAAGCACTTTTTTTGCTCTGTTATTTATGTAGTTAAACATAGAAACTATAATCATGCATTGTTTCATATGGTAATATACCATTACTAACCTGTTATTTTAGGAAGAGCCTTTTAGGTTGATGAAGTGAGAGAACCAGAATTGGAGTAAGAAGGTGCATAGTGGCGAAGCGGAAATGATCGTATGAAGCATAATGGAGGAGGTGTGGCAGCTATGATTGCTGGTTTACACAGTGCAAAGATGACCATTAAAAATGTTTATGTTCCCAGTCAAGAAAGTCTTTAAAGACTGGAAGTTTCTGTAGAATCCTCCAGATTATTTGTCAGTACTGGAACAGATTTTGCTAATGCTATGCAGTGTTGCAATGAAGAATATCCACAGAAGCTGTTTGAGAACACCTGCAGAGTATAAGAGCTCTTAGAAGTAACACTGGACATGTGGGTATTTTAGTAGCTGTGTAGGTGGCTGAGTCAATGGCTGTGGCATGGACCTGAACATGAGTCATACCTTTGGTAGTTTCCATGTTGTCCCATGGGTCTGGTCTAATAAGGGTATCCCTAAATAATCCTGTCTGTGGTTTTCAGATGGGGACAGTGTGGTTTTACCTGCCTTTTCAAGTGTTCTGAGATGCTGAGTTGAAAATCCCTATTCAAAAGAGAGCTATTAGTTTGTAGATATCTGGTTTAATTTCAAAAAAACCCTATGGTAGACCAGGCTGCAGGCATGTTTAAGTGTCCATTTCCCTTGATACCTGCTTAGCGAAATGAAATGAGACTGAAAGTCATTTTTATCACTGGTGAAATTATGTTATTTTTCTGAGCTGTAACAAGGGTTTGGAAACTATTATGAATAATTAAAACCCCTTCAAAACAATAATTGTCTCCCAAAACATTAATTAAGAATAATAAATAGATCACCTCAATTTCCCCTGTAATAAGCTACTTCCACAAAGAAAAACACGTGGTCCAAATTGTGCTAATATGTCATTCTATACAAAATGTATTTCTTTAAAATACACTGTATTAATCTAGTGCATTTGGTCTGCTTTCACGCAGTCTGCATTGTTCTACTCTCAGTAAAAGTAAGACTGAATATTTCAGATGGGGGAAAAAATGTTCTTTTTGTAACTATAAGATGCCTAGGAAGTATTGACTGCCAAATGTAAAACTGGAAATCCAGGGGAAACCAGCTACAGAAGACTGATTCTTTACATATAAATCTTGCAAACAAACCAATTGGGCATATCTGTGTTAACAGAAGTATTGAAAGAAACAAGCATACTTAGCTATTTGTATCATGCTGTGTTTTAAAAACATTGCTACTTTTTGCCACAGTTGGCTTCTATCTTCAGAAATATTTTTGAATGGGAAGGTATGCTCTAAAATGTAGCTTGTACCATTTTCATTTCTCAACTTTGGACTGTGATCTTCATAACCCGATACATGCATCTTTTAATGAAATTATATATGACACAACTTCAAGCAACAATTTTTAGCTGTTCAGTAGTTACTGGGACAGAATATCAGCTGTGAGGCGTTAAAAGGAGCAGTTCAAACAAGCAATTTAATCCAAAATTTATGGGATTATCTGAGGTGGGTGAGGAAATGTGCGTCTTTTGGCTTTCTTTTCTGTTTTGCTGAAAGAAGTTGTGTTCACTTTTAGAGGCAGTTGCTCTCTAATCTGGTAGTTACAAACTTGATTTATTTTTTTTAAGCGTAACACTGCTACCCCCTCCACTTCAGCTTTCAGTTGTGTCCATCAGCAGTCCATTTTTGCATTAATAGACTTGACTTGACTTCATGTGAGTTTTCCTACTGAAGATAGCAGGATTGCTTTTTGTATGTAAGCATATGGCTCCAAGTGAGCACTGAAAATGAGCAGTTTCTCTTCTAAAGATACCAAATGAAAATAAACTTCACAACCTCCTGTAACAAAATTAATTTTAAAACCATTGTTTAGATTTTCAGTTAATTTTTAAAAGAAAATTCAGGTTTTAGCACTTTGTTCTGAGCCTTGAAAAGGGATGCTTTTTTACATGTAGTTGCGCTGAGTACTTCATGAAGTGTGGGACATTATAAGAACATCCACTGTCCAAATCCAGTCACAGTGTGAGTCGGAGGTGGATTTGTTTGTCAAAAGCTTAAAATTCCACTATAAGCCTGTCCGTTTTGCCAAATGTGCTTCTGTTTTTTATGGGGATGAAACCAGATTATTATGCAAGATTTGAGCTGACTTTTTTTAGTAAGAAAAGTTGTATGAAGACATTCTTGCAGTAAATGGCAAAGATGATGCTGATCTCTAGGGATGTCAGAGCTCTCAGGGATAAATAAAGGTGCTATATACTGTCAAGAGACAGATTTGACTGTCTTTTGTGGGCTAGGTGGAAAATGTTTTTTAGGATCAAATTCTGTGAAGAGTCAGGAGAAGAACCCACAAATTGTAGGAAAGCCTTCTGCACATTTGATTTCTTTCTTGGTTGCTCTGATGAGAGATTTTTTGGCCAGTGAATCTTTGTAGTCTTGGGCTAGCAGCTCTTCTCTAACAACATAAGTCAGAGCCCTGTTCGTTGCAAAGATGTCACTGACTTAGCAGGCTTAGCTGTAGGCTGCAAATCACTCCCCAATCTGGGATGGAGAAGCTCCATGGTACACAGGAGAGTTTTGCATAGCTTTTCTGCAGCCTGCACAGCGGTGCTCTCCTTTTTCTGCTGTCCCCCATGACGAGCAGGAAAAGTTTTATGCCTTAGTATTGCTCTCATTGTGATACCTTTTGCACAATGAACGGTAAAAACTACAAGTGCAGGGTGCTATGGTTTATATCTAGAAATACATTTAATTCAAAGCAGGTGAGCAAGGCAGAGTTCCTATAATTTCTGTGGATGAAAAGCTTCTCTAAGTTATCATAAACATTTAGAAAAAAAAGTAAAATAAAGTAATAACAAATAAAAGTAAAATAAATGTATACTGAAATGGAAAAAATTCTTGGCATTTTGAGAAATGTATTTTTGGCTTTTCTTGTAATCCTGTGTACCTTTTTTTGAAGTGGATGACATTTGGAGCAATTTTCTCCAAAAATAGCTGCTTAAATTTAATAAGTAAGACTACCTGAGGCTGCTGCTATGTTTTTCTTCTTGGAGCAGCTGTTAAAGTTGAATGGCTCGTAGATTCCAGTTGCCTCTGGACCAAACTTGGAAACTGCAGGGTCGTTTATCATACAAGCTAGCTGTGTAATGAGATCTCAGTTTTAATATCAGTAGCATTACTGAAACCCTGGCCTTAAAAACAGTGAACTCATTACTATATTCCAACAGTTAGTTCAAATTATTAATTTAAAAGAAACAACACTTCAATTGCTAAGAACTCGGTATTTTAGAGTTTGGGGTTTTTTTTCAATACTGCAAAGTCATGCAAAGCTAGAGTCTAGTCCTGCAAGATGCAAAATTCCTGCAGTTCTTCCTGATATTGTAGAAATTAAAATTGGCTTATTGCCCATGAAAGCTTGAGCCCTTAAAGCATGAATACTCACATGTCTGCTTTTAAATTTAAATACAGATTACAAGAATTAACCAAAAGAAAGCAGCAGAAATGTGCATACATGAAGCTACAGCATTCAAAAGAAAAGTAGCTGAGATAGTTCAGAAGAAGTTCTCTTGTGAAAGTACAAAATGTTGGAAGTAGAGAGTGAGGATTTGAGGAATGGCTGAAGGCATTTGGAGGAGGATTTGGAACATTTTGTATCCACAGTAGAGCTGCTAAAAGGGTTTGATTCATACGGTATGTTTTTCATGGCATGGTAGGGTAAGTGAATATGTAGTCATAAGTGTTATTTTTACTGGCTTTTTAAAATGCGATTTTTGAAACTCCAAATATTTTTTTCAGAGGCTCTGTTATTTTTACATATTTTCCTTCCCAAATGTATTTAATGCAATCTGTCAGCTCAGTTTCTGTTTACTTATTAAAGGTCAGATTTTTCAAACCATGGTCTCTGGTTTTACACATGCAAAATGCAGGGGGAATAGGCATACATGCAATTTTGCAGTGATAATTTCTCATGGATGCAGGTTAGATGATTTGAAAGTCTAAATACTTTATGAATGCAGCCAGGTGTTTACAGTAGGTGTGAATTGCACCAGGTTAAGTCTGGGCTGAAAATCAGGCCCTTAAAATGTGGAATTTAACATTGCTTAGAAATT